AATCATTTCTATTTTGGAAGCCATGTCTCATCTGAAATGGTGCATGAAGCTGGAGCCTCCCTTCAACCATCGTGCCTGGGTAGCCTGACAGACATGTAGATACACATCAAAAACCACAAAGACTTCTACAATTACTGTGCTGCTCTGAGGAGGAAAACATGGGCAGAGAGAGAGGAGAAAGGGTGACAGAGGGGAGAGAGACAGAGAGAGAGAGAGGAGTGAAGAAAGAGACGGAGAGACAGTGTCATGGTTTGCCATGGCATACATTTTATCTTAGACTTTGTTTGGATTTTGTCACTTCCTATTTTATTTTGTAGTTGGTAGGGAGAGAGAGAGAGAGAGCGAGAGAATGACATGCAGCAAAGGGCCACAGACCAGATTCAAACCCAGGCCACCGCTGACTAAACCCAAATGGCATGCCTTCCACCAGGTGAACCACTGGGGCCCGAGACAGACTATGTTCCTTATTTAGTCTCTCACACAGAGCACAGCCGTCATCTGGATTACTTCAACTCCAGAACTTAACACACTTTTATTAGAGGCAGGTCTTTATGTCTAACTCCCTCTGTTTGATATGTAGAGTTGGTCATAGTTGTTACTATGAAGCCTTGTTACCGATGACTTCTCTTTCTCCCTCCCTCTCTCATGCTTTCTCTCTTTGCTCCATGTGCTTATGTTTAGTTATTCCTCTGCCTCCTTTAGTAATAATGATACAATGAATGAAAGAAGTTTATTTGCTGTAATGGAGGTGAGGCTCAGTGTATTGGAAGCGCTCCTCCTCTTCCTTGCAGTTCCCCGGCAGTGTTGCTCAGTAGACTGCAGCTCAGTACTCGGCTCGCCAGTGGTGGAATATCAGTCAGTCAGTCAGTCAGTCAGTCAGTCAGCGACATTTCTGATTATAGGGCTGGCCCCACTGTTGTAGTCCAGCAGAAAACTGTATAATTTACCAGTATGGAAGATGCTACTTTGAGACTTGAGCTACAAGCTAATTTTTAGTGGAAGTATTTAAGATATTTTTCTTTTATTGAAAGTAGCAAATGTGCAACAAGCTACTCAGAAAAGGCAGCTATAACTTTGAAGCTTCACGAAAAGAAATATCTGGTGATGCTATAATAAACAAAAGCATCAGCATAAATAATGACTGGCACATTCATTACATAACATTACACTATTGCCAAACACTGTAAGGTTTTTCACTCTAATAACAACTCATGTAAAAAACAACTGCTGTCCACACCAGCACCTTCAGGTGTTTGTATGGTTTAAAGTTCTCCACCACTCATGTCGTCTGAACACCAAATTAACAGAAAAACACAGAATCACAATCTTTTTCTTCCTTTGGTGAGATATATTTTCAATTTTTTCTGGCTCAGTGTGGATGTCAGAGCTCTGAGAGACAGAGAGGAAGAGTCAGGAACCAAAAAGGCAGACTTCTCAGTTTGAGAGGAAAAATTAAAGACAGAGGTGAGAAGAAGTGCTTTATTGACGGCAGCGTGGAGGAAAGAGACAAATAAAAGGAAGGAGATCAAGAAGACAGAAAATATCCCAGATTGATGAACACAGGCAGACCAGCATTCATTTCATAAAGAATGAGTTAAATCGGCTCTCGCTGACTAAAGACTTTTCATGTGGAGGGTTTCCTGTCCATTCTGCTGACTCACTTATCCTGCTTCATACTTATTGCTCCGACTGCTGAGTCGCAGCAGGAAGGAGCCTCTAATCAAGATAATTAGATTGACTGAGCAGTAACTGAGCATGGGGAGGTTCGACCAGTGATTTAAAGCGCATGGGGGGATGGGACATAGTTAGCACACCACAAACATGTTCACATCATCGGCCTGCTGCGAGCCAACATAGAAAATAAATTCAACACCACTATGTATTTACAGCTGCAGTGTAAGCAGTAGTGCTTGTTAACACTTTATGATACAGCCTGAAATTTACAGTGCAATACAGTTTAATCAATCAGTTTAATCAGGTGCCAATAAAATACTTACTGGTAATTAAACATACATAGGTACAGTGGAATAAATGACTATGGGGTACAAGATTACTGTTACAAGAAATTATTTGGAAATATGTATAAAAAATATACTCATGTAAAAGTACAAAGAAAGTCCATTAAAATGAGTAAATGCTACTGTGTTACAGTTTTAAAAGGGGAAAAAATGTTTTATGGGGATAATGATGTCATAAGATAAAGACTAAAGAAACAGCTTAAGGCACAGGCTTTAGGCACGGGGGGGCAATGCCCCACCAAATGCCCTGACTACCTCACTAATTCGTCCCACTTCATCCCATAGCTAAAAAAAGTATATTATTTTATTCTTGTCGATTTGACCAGTTATAAATATGCAACATTCAAATGATCAAAGATTATTTCTATCTGATTGTTTGGTCTGGCCATATAAAAACTGGATACAGCGGGCAGAGCAGTTATTTCACTATCGTTTCACTTCATCACTACTGTCTGGTTAACAGCCTACTGTGCTTGCACTCAGTGACTTGACTCCCATGAGAATAACCTGGTTTTAGTTTGAGAATCCATGAAATTTGATCTCTAAATTTGAGAGATTTATTTGGCAATTTGCATACTGTGATTTTTGTGATTATTTATCGTCAATCATTTGCAATCACCTTTCAGATTTAGCTAGTTAGCTGCATGTGTGTTTCTGTTAGCTAACTTCAGTTTTACACCACATAGTGGCAACACATTCCTCTCTCAAAAACCTCTCTCTGTTGCCATGCACCTATTTCTAGTTGTTAAACCAACGCCACTGTTAAAGGGCTGCAGTCAACAGATGCAGGAATATGGTGTCGTCTCACAGTACTACTCCTCAGCTCGATCCAACCCGATCCCCAACCCAGTTTCACAAGCACTGTACCCCCAGACAGCACTCAGTGCAGCAGTGGCTGACAATGACATTTCTAATTACATTGTAGCGTCTCATTTAAATAGAAAATTCATTAGTAGACCGGAAAAATATGTTGGATTAGGGCAGATATTTTATCCCAGTCTGTATAATAATAGATAATTAGATATAAAAAAATTAAGTTGTCCTTGAGGTGGGTTTAAAATTAAATACATTATTCATTTATTATTAGATTCTATGACTTTAATTTTAGATAACATAAAACAGCTATAGCTTACAGTCCTAAAGAACATTCATGGAGTACACCAGTAATGAGTTTTTAAGTATGGCAGTTAGTGATCTGTGATCTCTTAATGCCCCCACAATCAAAGCAGTCTAGAATTGGGCCTGCTACCTGGCGTATATGCAATGTTGTTTCCTGGTGTGAACGAGGGCTGGGACGACGCGTCGACGTCATCGATTACGTCGACGCAAAAAATACGTCGACGCAAAAACTGTGCGTCGATGCGTCGTTTGAAAACAAACAATAGCGGCAGCAAGTAGCGGCAGTATCGATACCAGCGAGTCAGTTGACTCTGATCAATGCAGAATAGTGATGGGTCGGTCGCGAACGAGAGCCGGATTAGAGCCGGCTCTTTGAAGTGAACGACGGGAGCCGGCTCCCGATCGAGAGCGATTTTTTTTTTTTTAATTGTCTTTTAAAACCGCATTGGTCAACATGTGTGGCTGTGGCAGCGTCTGTGTGACTACACTGAGCAGGAGGGGGGAGGGGAGGGGTTACAGACACTCGCATTTTGTGTTTTGTTTTTCACTGTACATGGTTGCACATTTTCATTTATATTTTGTTGAGTGATGTTTAGTTGATTTTGTGTTTATTCACAAATTAAAATGGGTCTTTTTTATTTAAAATTTATTTATGTATATTTTAAGTTATGTTACGTTTATTAATAAAGCCATATACATACTATACATATGTTATATTTTATGTTTTTTTACATTAGTTATTCATTTTACACATAATTTGGTAAGAAATGAATTTAAGTAACAAAAAATCTGAGGAGCCACTTCGGAGCCGAAAGAGCCGGCTCTTTTTAGTGAGCCGAGCCAAAAGAGCCGGCTCTCCACAAAGAGCCGGTATTCCCATCATTAATGTAGAACACAAAGTCATAGTTCAAAGATATGGGACTATTTTTCCGTAAAAGGAGGCCATTCTGTCGTTTGTCGGCTGTGTAAAATGGAGATGGCTTATCATAAAAGCACGACGGCGATGCACCAGCACATCAAGACACACACATAGACACACACTACATTACACATGGTATTCTTGAGTGAAAAGGCAGAGTGTATGTTCCTGTGAATGAACAGCACTTTATATTTTGTTAGTTAAAAAAGAACACTGCTGCTGTTTATATTTTATTGATTTTATGATGATAACATTTTCTTGATTCTTGCACAACAAGAAAGTTTTATTTCATTTTATTTTTTGTTAAACGCTACCTCTGACGTCAGATTGCACTATTGTTTTCATTACTTGAATTTTATTTTGGAATATGGTCATTTTTGGTGAAAACAATAGAAATATGTTGGAATGAAGAAATTTGTGTTTTTTCATTGAGATACATAAATTAGCATATGTAAATTGCTATATAAGTCAAATAATGGGAAAATAATCGAATTGAATCGATTCGAATTCGAATCAAAAAAATGAATCGTTAGATTAATCGATGCATCGAAAAAATAATCGCTAGATTAATCGATTACAAAAATAATCGTTTTGCCCAGCCCTAGTGTGAACCATTCTGAAAGCAAGCAATAAACTGAAGTCAGGCTCTTTTTAGCTTGTGCATACATCTTATCATTTCAATTCCAAATTGAATAAACTATATCAATATGAAACTCCATAAATCAAACAGCTGCCACCTTAGAGAATTAACAGCAGAAAAGTGGAGATGTATACTCCAGAATGGCTGCCAATGCTATTTTGCTAGGCAACGCAGTAGTTGATGCTGTAAATTGAGTTACAAAAATCATTCTTACAACTCAAGTAAGCAAAGTTCTCAGCTGTCAGAGGTCAGTGTGGGATGAATATAACTCTTCAGATAAAAAATTAATTTCCACAAAATAGTGTCAAAGTTGCTCAATAATTTATTAATTTGTTGATTTTTACAAAACAATATTTACAGTGTAAAAACAATTCCTTGTTTGAACTGACCAACCAACCATCCATCCAACCCTGAAATACACCCGACTGTGACAAACCACTTTGGTGAAGAGTGACAAACTAACTTGTTGCCTGATTGGACTCAGCAGTCTCAGTGCGTCAGTCTGTAAATGTCACTTTGGTGGGACTTCAATTTAGTCCCAGTAGCAGTCTAACACTAGGCAGTTTCTAATCCAGAATAATTACAAAAGTCTGGTTTTGATCAACAAAAGTGTTGCTTAATATTTTGGAGCAGGTGTCTGGGCGAACATCATGCAACATAGTTTTATACTACAGTGTAACATTGAAACTTGGTGAGAGGAACCAGAACCAGGACCCGGCTCAGGCCTGTTAAACTAAATGTTTGTACAAAATATCCTTCAATGTTGGAGTGAGTGTTCATCAGATATTGCACTGATTTTCCTGGAGCTGTTTGTCTCTCCGCTGCACTCCTTTCAGTATTGGAGATGAGGAGAGCAAGGAATGCTCAGGAGCAAGACACAATCCTAAAGGAAGCAGCTCTGTCCACACAGATGAAAGACAGTGTTAACAGTTGGCACAGAGGAGAGCCAAAGTTTGAAATTAGTTGGAAACATTGCAACATTTCTTAGGGACTGTACGGCTTCCTCTGGTTTCACCCACAGTGCACAAGTGTCACAGACTTGACTGAAGGTCCTCAGACAAGCAGAGATTCAGAAAGCCCTGCTATGACCCCGCCGCCCCTTCATCTCTTCTTCTTGCTGTGTCGGAGCATCTTCTTCCTTTTCAGGATCATTTCATACAGTTTCTCCAGGCCAGGCTGCAGACCCTGACCATCCAGTGCTGAGCAGCCCTGTGTTTGGTGCAGTGTGGATGAGCTCAGTTCATGGAGGGCCAGCACCTTCTCCACCTGAAACAGAGACCAGACAGGAAGCCATCACAACCTGACACTCATCCAAGCAACTGTGATCCCCTCTAAACTAATGATCAATGAAGATCAAATCTTCACTGTTCGAATGACTAACTGCTGACATGAACTGGTTTCATTGATAGAAAATGGCTTTGTAATTTTCCAATAGCACGTCTTAAAGCATGATTTCATGCTCATCTTTTTAAATGTAAGTATGTGTTTTCTTAATTCTGCAAGATTTAACCATTTCATTTTATCAGATGACTAAAGATTAGCCCAAACATTCTGCACTATTGACCTTTGATCTTACATGACAGTAAACTGAATATATTTAGGATTTTTGATATTTAGGACTGTTGGTTGAACAAACCAAGCCTTGGACTTTGGGAAATTGTGACATTTTTCATCACTTTCTGATATTATATAGAATAAAGGATTAATGAGCCAATCAGCAGAATGAACAATAGAGAAAACAATTATATGTTGCATGCCTAGACACAAACATCTGCCAGCTCAGGACTGAGAAATATATTTATCATTCTTTTGTTTCTAGAGGGAGAAAAGCAGTAATATTCCATATAATGGTTTTCATAGTCACTGGTGCCATAATCATCACCCATAGGAGATAATCCTTTGGCAAATACAAAGTGTTACATCATATCTTTAAAAGTACTTTTTTGGTTTAGGAGCAAAGCATTCAATTTAAAAATAATCTGTCATCTGCACTAACTTTCACGGAGATGGGGAGATGAAAATCATTTGAACTTTACCCAGGAGATCAAACTCTAATGCTACAGGTTCAGCTATAGATTATTCTTCTCTGGTTAGGGTCTTTCTTGGTAATAGCCAAGACCATAATATATAATATAAAACCAACCATCCCTTCTCTTGATATTCTGCAATTCAGTGTTTGGACTGAGTATTGTTTGAATTTTTCAGTGCTTGGGTTTTGGTTCAGATGCTGATGTGATACTTTCCTCCCCATATCTCTACAAAACCCTTAGTACTGCATAACACCTAGACCTACGTAAAACTAACTACTTGTAAAGGATCAGAAAGTAATGAAAATGCTCATCACCGCAATACCAAACTGTTCATGTTACAATTATTACCTCTGAAGCTGACATGGCTCCATCCTGGTCCTGTTTGTTTGCCAAAACCAGTATGGGCACCCCCTGGTTCTCTGCTGACCGAGTGATCCTGTGGAGCTCCACCTTGGCCTCCTCCATGCGCTCTGTCTCAGCTGCATCGACCACGAACACCAGCCCATCCGTCCTCCTGGTGTACGACTTCCAGAGGGGCCTCAGTTTCTCCTGACCACCAACGTCCCACACCTGGAACGTGGTGGTGTTTGTTTTGATGTTCCCCATGGCTACTTTAATCCGCTCCATGTTAAATCCCTTGGTGGGGATTGTCTCCACAAACTCCTGCAGCTTGAGTCTGTAGAGGAGAGAGGTTTTCCCTGCAGAGTCCAAACCAATCACCACTACATGCAATGACTGGAAGCTGGGGAGGAAAGGGGTGTTGGGGGCAATTTCTGTGAAATGATTCCCCATGTTTAGGTCCAATAATGTAGAATGATCCCTCTAAAGATGTAAAGGACCAGATTATTGCGTTTGGTGGATGGTCCTTTAAAATCCCACAACTCCTGTTCTCCTGGGTCCCTGTGTGTCCTTGGCAGCCAAAAACATGTGTGTCAGGGTCCGGATAGGCTTTGAAGGTAGCAAGAGGGGCAGGGAGGAGTCCTTTTAGATGGGGAGCAGTTCACACTCCTGGCCTCACTTCAAAGTCTGGTGTGGGAGGATACTGGGGGACAGCCAGCCGGCAGCAGTCACTGAGGAACTGGAGATAAAAAAGGAAAGCATGAGTCAGCAGTATTAACAAAGCACTGGGCTGTCAGAAGCCCTGCCAACTTAGTGCAGCTCCAGTCCACTGCAACACCACAGAGGAACAGATTGATAGATCCAAAAAGCTTTTTTTTTTTAATTTCTAAAAAATTAATTTAGGATGTACTCTTTTATAAATTCAGAGCAACAATCATTAAAAAGGTTGAAACACTATGGAATGATATGCTTGACTGGAGCTGTTGTTGTGAACTGCTGGTAGCTATGCTTTTGTCCTGACTCAGACTGCAGTGAATGATGAGCGGCTGCGGGGCAGTAGGCAATATCAGCGGTGTTCTCTGGTTCTATCTGTCTCCTACACAGAACTGGAAAAACAGGGATCACAGAGTGAAATCCTGCAGCGCCTGTTCTGTCTAATGGGACCCTCTTACCCAAACTGGGACCAGGTCCTGTTTATAAAACCTCGGTTAAATACATGAAACATACACAAATACGTGATTACCTTAAATACAAGTAGCAAAATAACATAATACCAACAAAAGCAAAAAACACATACTTCCACACATGTGGGATCAAGTTTTAATGTAGTTATGAAGTTAAATCGACAAAAACTAGTCCTTCTCTCTGATCGTATGCCTCGCGGAGGAACCTTCTCTGGTTCCGCGCTACAACAAAGTCAACAAACGTAGTTTTTTTTCACTTTGGTTTAAAATGATTAATCTATCTCACCTTTCAGAATTCCCGAGCTCCTTAAACTACTCAACATTGTTCACGTGCGACGAAGTTTCTAATAATAAAAGAATTTTAATTAGAAAAATAATAATAATCCCGACAGACTCGCACAGCGACTCCGGCTGTTATTCTACAACGACTAAAGGCAGTAAGGCGGCAGCGCCCGGTAAGAGCACGACCAACCCCCACTACTGACGTAGTATCGGCGGGAGGGACGGAGAGAGAGAGACAGGACTGGATAATGGAGGAGAAAACGGTCCAAAACTCAGCATCAGGTCATGTTACTGTCATTTCCCTGTGAGTTACTCGTGTTCATTTTCAGACTCCTTTAATTATGTAACTATGTCACATTCAAGCACAAAATGTGGTACAATGAATTCTGGGTAAATAAAGACAAATGGCCGACTGAGGAACCACATTCAACCAATCAGCTCCATTTACGCCAGCAGAAAATGTTGTGCTAGGTGTCATTGATTGTTACAGTGGTAACATTGGTAGTGTTAGGCCAGTCCTAATCAGGGTAACTCAGGCCTAAGACCATATTTCAGACTGGTCTGTAGTGTTAGGTCAGGCTTAATTTGGATAATAGATTAGTCTAATACAAGTCAGGCCGTTTAACAAAAATAAAGACTGACTCATTTCTCATCGGCTATCTCAGGCCTAAGACCAATGTTACCATGGTAACAATCAGTGACTCCTGGCTGAGCAGTAGCACCCAACAAAAAAAAAACAAATCAGGAAAACATTGCTCATAATGTGTGGTTTGCTAACATTTTTATGGAGAGAGCAATGACGAGGGAAAGAGTTTTTAGGGACCAAAAAATCTGACTTTTTAAAAAATTTTTTACTCTTCACGTTCCTTGTAACTGTTGAATTCTACCAAAAGACAAACATTTTCTGCTGGGGTTAATGAAGCTGAGCACTTGGATGCAGTTCAACAGTCGGCCGTTCTTTTAATTTGAAAAAGGTTTTACTTTACCCAGAATTCATTGTACCAAAGTCTGGCTTAAGAGAGCAATGATAAGGGAAAGAGTTTTTAGAGACCGCAGAGATTTTTTTTCCAAGTCATAATTTTCTTTTTATTTTTTCACTTTTCGCTGAATTCCCAAAGTAAAACTTGGTTGGCTTGATTCTTTGTTTGGCCTTTTTTTTTTTAAGTTTTAAATTTCCCAGCATTTATTGTCCCACAGTCTGGCCTAAGATAGTCAACAACTAAACTGCTATGTGCAATGGACTCAAACTGTCTGAAGTCTGACTATTTGTTATATCTAAGCCACAGTCAAAGTCTGTCTTTGTGAAATCAGCCCCTGCAGGTAAGTTGTCTAATGTTTTTTTTTTTTGGCTTAAAATGATTCAGTCTTTATTTTTGTCAAACAGTCTGACTAACATCATACTGATCTATATCCAAAATGAAGACTGCACCAATACTAGAGACCAGTCCAATATATCTTTGTGAAACCAGCCCCTGTTGCTGAATTTGGTTGGCTTTTGCTGTGTTTGTAGGGAGAACAGAATTATTACAGTTTTTCTCAATCACTTTGATGCACTTCTCACATCACAAACCATTAACCATCATTCTCACCTCTCTCAATGCAGTTCTCAAAACAGTTCATAATTTCCTCACACACATTAGCATTTTTCATTGTATTTGTACAAGCTTCTTTTGTATCCACACATAGTTCACTACTAAAGACGTTTTCTCATTATGTTGACGCATTTCTCATCTGACTCTGACAACTCATGAAAACAGTTTGTTCCTCCGTCAGATAGAATGACAGACCTCTCACTCACTTTGATACTGTCCACACACACACACACACACACACACACACACACACACACACACACACACACACACACACACACACACACATATAGTGTGTATATATATATTTATCTACTGTATATGGTGTGAATTTACTGTACTATAATTGATGCTATGTTCTAAGTTTGATTGCATATTTTATATTATATTTCTCTGTCTATTTCCCAATGAATAGTTCCATGTTTTCCTCCTATCACACATTTTCTAAACTACAGTGCATACGGAAAGTTTTCAGACACTTTCAAGTTTTCCACATTTTGTTATGTTTCAGACTCATCTTAAAATGGATTCAATTCATTACACACACAATACTCCACAATGACAAAGCAAAAACAAGTTTTTGGAGTGTTTTGTTAATTTATTAAAAATAAAAGACTGAAAACATTGCATTGAAAATATCATACAGTAAAAACATCTGAAAATCAAGTATTTGCTTTAAATGCCAAAAATCTTTTTCAGTATAGTAATGTTTTGGATAGACCATGTTCTAAATCTAAAGCTCTTCTGTTAGGCTTTTATATACATTTCCATACAGTGTTCTAAAGTGACAGGACAGTGATCTGTTGAGAGGTTGAAATGGTCACAGTACAATAAACACCAAGGCAATATTGAAACAGAATATAGTCATTTTTCCAACATGTTACTGTTGTTACTGCAGTACAGTGTTGTGTCTGAACATTTGGTGATTTAGTGTTGGGAGAAATGCATGAACTGTTTTGAGAACTTCATTAAGAGTTGTGAGAATGATGTTTCTAATGAGTGAATTGCATCAAAGCGATAGAGAAAAACTGTAATTCAGTGAAGACACATATTCTCCTGAGAATCCTCATTGATCTCAACATCAGTTTGGGTAGTTCGCTGGATCACTGACTGTCTTTCGTGTGTAATGAAGCAGAGGCTTGCCCAAATATGATGTCATGAAATTAGCTGTCTGTCATTTTCATGCAGTCCCTAAAGAGGAACTGCAGAACCTCCTGCTGTGTACCAACACACTTCCCCCATTCAAATGAATGGGAAGGGTTGTGTTTTCACAAACAGAGCAATGAATGCAGGCTCAGAGTGCTAACAGGTCATCATGGGTCAGTATGAGCTACCTATGATATAATGGGTGTATCGATTTGCATGATAATGGCCCACGTAGTTCTTTCCTTGATACCTGGTACTCATTATGATAACAATGTGGGTGTGTGCAAATGTGCCTGTGGTGGGGGATGTGTGTCTGTGTGTGTGTGTCTGAAACAAGTGATGACCTATTGATTCGCTGAGCAGAGGTGGATTGTGACAGGCTGACAGGCTGACTGGAGCCAGGCTGACTGACTGCTTGTTGAGAAAATATGGTGGCCTGTGTGGCCTGTAACATGAGTTGAGGGGTTTTGAGAAGACACAGAAAATAATCCTGACAGGCAGTTTGATAAAACTTGGATAACATGAACATTTTATATTATTCATTGTGGCTGTTTGATCCTGCTCTGGAAACTCAGACAGGATGCAGCTATAAATGCCCTGATTTGAATAGGATGACACAGCTGTGAGATTATTTGCAGGGGTCACTGTGACACTGATTGTATCAGGGAATCTTCAGATGCATGTGGAATGTATGTGTGAGACAGGCTGTAAAAAAGTCTGTTATCAGCTGTGACCAGCAGAGGAAGAAAATATGATCACAGCATCCTGCACACTGTCTCTGTCTCATGTTTTCTGGAAACAACCTACAGAGGGTCTGCTGTCAGTTTGAATCTTAGCCCCAGACAATGACGCATTTGAAAACTTTAGCATATTCTTTAAATGGAGAGACAGGTTTCATAGAAAGTGTGTTAATATACCTGCAAGTAAGCATCAAAAGATTTTGGTCCTAGAACTGTGGTATTCCATTGGCATCAGTATCAAACGGGGGCATCCTCTTGGCCTAGGGGAGTTAAGATGTTAACCATGTCATTGCAACATCCCTGTTTGTTTGTTTGTTTGTTTGTTTGTTTGTTTTAAAGTTATGTACTTTTAAAATATTTAAAAAATATCATATACAGACCTGGTCTTGGAGCACAGGTCCATCCAAATTAAACCATTAAAAAAAGCATAACTGCATGAGAATTCAGGTTAATTTTTGACCTTGGGCAACAGTACCTTGACAACTCAATGTTCACTTAGCATTTTCCGGAGCTTTGAACCACATGTCCCAGCCTTCATCAACAATTGTCCCAGTAATTATCATTTGTCAACAGCAGAATGTCTGAAGTTTGGAAAGAAACTGATCCAGAAACCAACCTGACAAGGGAAAACTGAATTGCAAACCCGATCCTACAGTAGTAAGCAATGACATCAATCATTGTAAAGGGTAGTAGCACACTCTATTGTCAGCAGCAGGAACAGCAGCCATAATGGATGATCACTGTAAAGGGAAAATTTGAGGAGTCACAGTTACAGTTTTTCTCAATCGCTTTGATGCAGTTCTCACATCAGAAACATCATTCTCATAACTCCTAAGTTCATCATTTCCTCACACTATTCTTTATCATTGTATTTGTACAAGCTTCCTTTGTATCCACACATAGTTCACTACCAAAGACGTTTTCTCATTGTGTTGATGCATTTCTCATCTGACATTGACAACTCATGAAAACAGTTTATCAGAGCCATGAGCAGACCATGACAGGCACAAGACCTTCGGCACTTAAATGAGAGAGCTAAAATGAAAGAACATCTTTAGGTTACCAGATATATCAGTTCCCGCTAAGCAGGGAACTCCTAAGTGCTGGAACAGAACTAGTGTAAGTTTAAATGTACAGCAGGTAGTTAGACTGTGATAACAACAAGAAAAAAAACAGCAAGTTTAACTGTGTTCAGACAGAGCAGCAATATACTCTACCAGTAACAGAAACTGAGATGGGACACCACACTGATGTCAGCAAGTCAACACGTGAATGGCGTCACTACTATTAGTGAAATGACATCAGTAGAAGTAAATCACTGTGTAAAAGTGTTCTCCGATAAAAGAACAAAGTAAGTCAGTTGAAATCTTTCTGAGTAAACGTGTTACTGCGTTACATTTGAAAATGGGGAGAGAGGGGTAAAACGGTGGTGTGTGGGTGTGGGTGTGTGTGTGTGTGTGTGTGTCTGTGTCTTTGTGGATGTGTTTGTAAACATCACAGGGATCAAAGACTCTCTTAACGAGCTGGTTCCAACAACTGTGTCTAGGTGGAAGCCACAGAGCTGACTCAGATCTGGGTGTGATTTTGGCTTGGCGAGCCTCTCAAATGACTGCTATTTTTGAAAAAACGGAACTCCTATTAGAACCATGAGCGG